TGGTGGCTGACTCCAGGCCCCGCTCCTGGAAGTACCGATGGGGGAGGCGGGGGCGGGGGCCTTCGCTGAAGTACGACTTGATCCTCCTAAGTCCCTCCTGATCCCCCGTCTGCGAGTCCTCCCTGTGGGAGAGAGATGGCGACACTGACTTCTGGGGGATCGGCCCTCTCAGGCAGCGCTGAGCCCTGGCTTCTCACCCTCCTTCCTCATAGCACCTCCAGGACACCTACCATGTAACGTCTTCTGCCTCCTTCTCCAGGATGCTCTGGGCTGTGCGCCAACTGAACCGGACAAACTGGGGGAAGCCGAACACAGGGTCCACGTGCTCCCTCAACCACGCTTTTGTCTTGGGATCTGGGGGAAGGGTAGGGTGGACAATGTGCTAGCCCTGAGCCCTGCCGTAATGTCCCAGCTTCTCAGCTTGGCATCTGAGGCCCTACCACCTCATCTCAGTCCTCCTCTGGAGTACCTGAAGCACCGCCCACTGTCTGAGACATCTTCCTGCCTCAGGACCTTTGCACAAGCAGTTCCCCCCAACTCTTTGCCTGGTCAACAGTTGCTTATGGTGCAGTTTAAGGAGACTGCCCTTGAGACATCTCCCTTACCTCCCCCAAGGACATGAGGCATTGAACCAGCATTTGTGGACCATTGAGTTAATGCCCATCTCTCCCATGTAACCACGAACTCAGTGGGCACAAGGAGGTCCTTGTTTGTCTTGCTCATGGCTAAATCTTCAGGGCTTGGCCCTGCAGGTCACATACCAGGTGTTCAGTAAGCAATGAACACTGCCCAAAGTGTCTTTGGCCTGGACCTGGTTTCCTCCCTTTGGCCTCACCTAAGCTCCAATCCTAGACTTGCTGTGTTACCCCACCCAACTGCCAAAGGGTTCCTTGAACCCAGCCACTGAATCTTTGCCTCTGCCCTTGTGTGTCTTTGGGAGAGGTGGAGGGGAGGGGCACGATCATTTCCACTTTACAAACAGGGAGACTGAGTCTCCTAATGAAGAGAAAACAATGGATTCAAGCTGGGGCCACCGGACAGCACTGCACGGGAGCCAGTACCCCTCACTCTGCCCTTTGCGCCTTAACAAATGGACAGATGCCCATCGTGAGTCTCAGTCCTTCACTGGGGCTCCAGAGAGAGAGCAGAGAGGGAGGGAGGGAGAAGGGAAGAGGGAGTCTGCCAGCTGGAATCCAACTTTGCCACATTTTGGCCATAAGCAAGTGGCCCCCCTGTCTGGGCCTCAGCCTCTTCTGCTGCAGAGTAGGGTGGTCAGAACAACTTAGAAAACCTCAGAAGCATGCCAAGCCTGCCTTTTTAGTTTATTGTCACTCACCATTGGGGTAGCCTGAGCCATAATCAGTGTCCAGGTCCTGCAGTTTTTCCACAAACTTCCAGTTCTTCACAGCCTGGTCTCGGGCCACCTGTGGGCAAGATAGGCACTTGGGATCTCCCTCCCCATGAAGCAGCCATGCTTGCCTCCTGCCAGGGGGATGCTGGGAGCTGGCCATGGCCAGCAGGGGCCTAACCTTGGCACAGATACTGGCGGCACTGACCACGGGATAGAGGGCATCTGCCTTGGCCTTGACTGTCACCTCAACACCAGGAAAGCGCTGCTGCAGCCGCTCCTGGTATGTCTCTGGGGGCCCCACAGTGTCCACAAACACCTGCCGTGGTGACAGAAATGTATTCATTCAACAAACATCCAGAAAAACAACTGTGTAGATGATCCAACTTCACAGCCTTTGCACTTGATGTTCCCGCTGCCTGGAATACTCGTCTCCCAGCTCATGCCCAGGCTGCGTCTTCCTCTCGGGGGTCTCAGCTCAAATATCACCCTCTAAAGAGGCTTTTCCTGATCACACTATATCCATTCTACATTTATTAAGCACCTACCTACTGCATGCCATGGGCTGCTCTATGTGTTGAGGACATAGCAGTAAACATGACAGAGTAGACACCCTGGTGAGGGCCACAGACAAGAAACAGGACAAATAATAAAGAATAAGGGAGATCCAGAAGAGATTATAATTTTAAACAATTTGGGGGTGTTCAGGGAAGGTCACTCTGAGGTGGTGACATCTGAATAAAGGCCTGAAGGAAATGAGCCACAGGGAGATCTGGGAAAGAGTGTTCTAGTGCAAAGGCCCTGAGGTGGGACCATGTCAAGTACGCTGGACAGCAGTACGGGGACCACATGTCTAGAACAGAAATGAGGTCAGAAAAGTAACAAGAAAAGTAATCTCCAGAGCATTTATTATTCTCAAAAATCACCTTTACTATTTGCTTACCAGCTGCCCATCCATCTCCTCTGATTTGGTCATGAATCCGAGGGCAGGCTCCTTGTCTGTCTGCTTCAGTACTGCATGGTCAGCTCCACATTCCAGCCCTGGACCTCAGCCACCTTCTCAGCAAGGCCTCCCTTGTTACATTCTCTATCTCAAGTATATTTACCCTTGTGATTCTCTCAAAACGGTCTGTTCTTTGCCTTGCAAACTCGATGCAACACCAACTTATAATTCTCTCTGGGGATTTAATCTCATTCTTCACTTGCCTGTAAACTTTCCTGATTTAATTCCCACTGTGTTCAGAAAATTAAACATCGAGATTTACATTTCAAAAACGTAAATGACTGTCTGCTGTGTGGGGAGCACATTGTAGGGGAGGGGGCTGGAGGAGGATGGGGCAGGTATCCAGGAGGGGAGGGTGCCCTGGGCTAGGATACAGACTGCGGTCGGGGAGAACAGATGTGGGATTCGTTCTACACACTGAGCCTTTAGAATATGGAAATAGATTAGATGGGGGTGAGGCTGGGGGCCCCACCATGGTCCTCAGTGGGGCACACACTTAAGGTAGGAAAAACAGTAGGACATCAACAGCAGTAAAACACATTCCTGAATCATCCATCGCACTTCTATACTCCTATTTTATCCTGAGGTGATTAAACGGGGGCAATCCAACCAACAGTTAGCTCACCTGGGCCACTTTCACACCTTGGTCCAACGCATACTGCATCAGCCCAGTAGCTGTATCATGAGACAGGGAGTTCAGGTTGTATTTGACCCTGTGGTGGTGGACAGAGCCCAGTCAACATCGTTCCAGCCACCCATCCCTTCCAGCCCATGATGGCTACCCCCCCGCCCCCGGGACCCCTCACCGCCCAAGCATGCTGGTAGAGATGAGGTTTGGAGACAGCACGTCCAGTGCCCAGCCCACAAAGTCTCCGTCCTCCTCCATTTTCGCAAAGAGCCTGTGCCGCTCGCTCTCCGACAAGGTCTTTGAGTCTGGGTGGAGGATTGGGAGAGAAGGGGAGCGGCTGGTTCCCCCAGTTCCTGCTCTCCCCCTCCAGCTTGCACCCGCCCCTGAACATGCCCAGGAACCGCCTCCCTAGATCTACCCCAGGGCTCACCTGCCACTTTCAGGGCCTCCAGATCTGCCAGGCGGGACAGGGGGCAATAGCAGATGGCGTAGACCATGGGGCCTGGGGAAGAGGGGGTCCAAACAGTGAGCCCGTGAAAGCCGCCATCTCTATTCCATCATCACCGCTTTTTTTTTCGGTGCCATCACCAATGCCATCGCCATCACCACTATCACCACCACCACCACCCCCCCGAGTGCGGTGCAATCCCAGCTCCTGTTCCAGTGCAACTTGCATCCACCTTATCACGCCCCTCCCCCACCCGGCCCTGGGGGCGCACCCAGCACCGGGCCCCGGCCCGCTTCATCGACGCCCAGGACGCAGGGCTCCTTGCGGCACACAGAAGGTACAGGCGAGTTCAGGCGACAGCGGCCCGTATTGTCTCTCTCCAGCTCGCTGAGATCCATGCCGCCGCAGCCGCCGCCACCAGCGGCAGGAACAAAGTCTGCAAGGAAAGGTCTCTGCGCGCTTTTTCCGCGGGTCCAGAGGCAGTGCTAGCTCTCGACCAATCGCCGCGCAAGACGCGCCCCAAACGTTCCCGCCGCCGTTGTCGTTTGCGCAGCACACGCCGACGTCGCTGCCGTGCAGCTTCCTGGGAATTGTAGTTCCCGAGTCTGACAGCCGAGCTCTATGGTTGGGGAACTGGATAGGCGGGGTCGCTTTCCAAGCTCCGCCCGGGTGTCACTGGAGCTCCGCCCGCCGGGGCTGGAGGGAGGAGAGGGAAATAAAGGGGAAATTGAGGGGGGCCTTGAAGGATTCGACCCGGTCAGAGCCTAGAAGGTCAGATACCACTAGACTCCCAGAATACGGTGTCCGCATCACTGAGTTCCTGTCCCCCATCTGGTTTCAGGCTCTTTGTACTCGAGGTCCCTGCTACTCCACACAGTCTAAGCCCCCTGGACTAGGTATCCTGGCTCACGCTGGGCTCAAACCTTCGGACTTAGAGTCCCCCAGCTCTCTCTCTCCGTAGCTCACCGGGAGAGCCACCCCCCCCGCCTCTCGCCTGCTTTCTACCCTCTCTCTCATCCGGGCTAAGCCTCTCCTACCCCCGAACCGAGATCCCAGACCTCTACAGACTCCGGCTCAGAGTCTCCGCCCACCACGCAGGCTCCTTTCCCCTCCATCCCCAATTCAGGGTTCATGCTCCCGCCCCGTCTCCCACCCTTCTCCCTCTTTCTCCCACGTCTTAGCGAGGAGCACGCCTCCCAGATTTGTCCACCACTCCAACGACATGTCTCTTTCTATTCCCTGCTCTCAACAGAGCTCACGCCCTCAGACTGTGGGTTTCTGTTCCTCATCAGGGTCCCAGTTCCTCCATCTGCGTTTTCCCCTCCCCACCCCCACCACCTTTCTTCCTTTCTCCTCGGATATCAGCGGGGCTCCCATCTCCTGACTCAGCCCTCCCTTCCCACGCTGCACTCAAGCCCCAGATTTAGTGCCCCATTGTTCCCTCTTCGAGGCCCGCCTCGTACCCGCCCCCCACAGCCCTTCCTCTCTCCCCTGCCCACCCTGGGAACCCGCGGCCCCGGATTTGCCCATCAGCCCCGGCCCCGCCTCCTCCGCGCCCGAGGCTCACCCGGGCTCAGGGCCTCCAGTCGCAGTCGTTCGGCTCGCAGGATGAACAATCTCGTTGCCGGCAGGGCCGCTCCTGAACCAGATTCTCGCGGTCCATGAACACCGGGCCCGGCGCTGTGCCCACAGCCTCGCGGCTGCGCTCCTGCTTGCCCAGGTCGCAGAAACAGCGCCACTTTCCCCACGGGCCAAGGGCAGAGTCTTCCAAGTCTAGGGATGGAGGGCCAGGTAGGAGGGAACCTTTCCCCCCGCACCCCCAGGGAGGGAGGAGGAGAAAGACACTAATACATCACAACAGTTCGTATTTGCTCAGTTGTGCTTCTGTGCCAGGTACCCAGCCATAGATTATCTCTAATCTTACCGTTAGTCCCAGGTGGGGAAACTGAAACTTAAAGAGAACAAGCCACCCTTCCAAGCTCACACAACTGGTGAATGGCCCAGAGGGACTGCAAAATGACACTTCCCACCTGTGCCTGCCTGTCCAGTTGGGAATGTGGTACCACACCCTTGGTGTCCACCATCTGAAGATGACTCCTCTCTCCAGGGGCATGATCTTGAGCCTGTCCAACTGGCACAGTGTCACCTGACCAGCAGGGTTGCCAGGTGGTAAATTAAATGACATAATTGTCATAACGAAGGTACTTAAAGCCCCTGGCGATGTGCTAGTACATAACACAAAAACAATTATTATGATCACTTTCAAAGCAGCTACAACGTTTATTAGACGCCCTTCACAACCCTTCTTTTACTGACTCTTCCCTACAGCCCTAGTTGACAGGTCTTAGCCCAAATCTGTGGCTCACAAAGTCCTGACACCTCATGCCCTCACCAAGCCTCTGCCAGACAACACTGGCCTCTTTCCAGTCCTCTGTCAGGCCGTTTGGCCTTGGCACTTGCGGTTCCAACTCCCTGTTGCACTCTTCCCCCTAAATCTTCGCATTTTAGGCTTTTGCTTGTCATTCGGGCTGCATTGGTTACCTATCTTCAGCCGGGCCTTCTCTGACTTCAGAAGTTTACCTGCACCCTGCCTTTTCTATCTCCGCCTTTCCCAGCACTTATCCATGAGTTTATGGATATGTCTGCGTCGGTATTTATTGCCTGCTCACGTCCCCTCTCCCGGTGTAGGCTGCTTATAGACAGTCTCTATCTCAATTTACAGATGAGAAAACTGAGCCTCAGAGAAAAGTAATCAGCCCGAGGGGCGCCGCCAGTGCATAGCTGGCAGAGATTTTTTTTTTTTTTTTTTTTTTTTTTTGGGGTACGCGGGCCTCTCACTGTTGTGACCTCTCCCGTTGCGGAGCACAGGCTCCGGACGCGCAGGCTCAGCGGCCATGGCTCATGGGCCTAGTCACTCCGTGGCATGTGGCATCTTCCCGGACCGGGGCACGAACCCGTGTCCCCTGCATCGGCAGGCGGACTCTCAACCACTGCGCCACCAGGGAAGCCCCTGGGCAGAGATTTGAGGTCCCTGAAGGAGGGTCTATTTGCAGCCAGATGGTGACGTGGGGCAATGAAGCACCTTTCTGCACTATCACAGCCGCAGCCTGCAGTTACCTTTCTCCAGATGCTGCAGCCGCAGCTGCTCCCAGGTGTCCCCTTCTCCCTGCTCGCCGAAGTATTGGTAGTCGGGGGAAACCTGGGCAGGAGTTGCCAGCAGCAGGAGTATCAGAGGCAGCAACAGTAGTGTCAAACCGCTCCGGGCCATGCCGGACTCAACCGACCCCAGCTCGCTCCAAAGAGGAGCCCCGCGCATCAACCCCGCGGGCCGACGCAGTGGTCGGGGCCGGCGGCTGCGCGTCTCCCCCTGCCGCCCGCGAGCAAGTGGTCGCGACCGGCTCCTCTTTCCCTCCCCTGCGCTTGCAGTGGACCCGACCGTTCCGCTCGTCCGCCCACCCCTCCGCGCTAGGCGTCATGGTTCGGGCCTAATATAAAAGGCTCCAAGGGCCAGGGCACACTTCGCCCTACGAAAGCGAGTCTGTGCGTCCGCAAGTCTGTGCGTCCCGCCCTTTCCCACGCAGGTATGGACACCTGGAGTGCATCGAGCTGCGGGGAGTCCCCTTGGAGCAGCTTGGGCCCTATCCGGACCTCAGCGCTGGCCGCCTTTGTTTTCCGCCCGCCGTAGTGGCCGCCTTTGTCCTTGCGGGGAAAAACGAGGCCAGAGCCTTGGAGTACAGGCCGCATCCCCAGGCTCCCCGCCCCCAGCTCGCGGCATCTCCTCCTGGGGCGGTGGGCTTGCGCGACCGCGCTCAGGCCGACACGCTAACTGGGGGCCGGCCGGCAGCTGCCCGGCCCCTCTAGCTGTCCAGGGGGGCGGGTCTCCCAAAGTCTCAAGGCCGTGCCAACCTGGTCCCGGAGAAGGTGCGAGGCAGTACTGCTGCCTCCGCCGCTCTGACTCAGTAACTGGGCCCGGTACGCAGCGTGACCTTGGGAAGCGAGGACAAAGGGTCGTCCAGGGCGCACTGACCGGGCGGGGGTCTCGGCTTTCAGTCATGACCTCCGGCTACGCGCACATCGGAAAGCCCGCCCCGGAATTCCAGGCCACCGCCGTGGTGGATGGCGCCTTCAAGGAGGTGAAGCTTTCAGACTACAAAGGTGAGGGCGGCCTGGAGGGGGCCCTGGTGGGGGCGGGGCACAGGCATTAGAGGGACTGAGCCCTAACTCCTTGTCTATTCCCACCCCCTTCCCCAGGAAAATACTTGGTCCTCTTTTTCTACCCGCTGGACTTTACCTTTGTGTGCCCCACGGAGATCATCGCTTTCAGTGAGCGTGCCGAGGAGTTCCACAAGCTGGACTGCGATGTGCTGGGCGTCTCTGTGGACTCTCAGTTCACCCACCTGGCTTGGTATGACCAGTGGGGACCAGTAAGGAGGAAGGGTGCAGCTAAACCTACACCTCTATAGGGTCTGAGCTGTGTGTTCTCCTGGCCGGTGCTCAACCTCTGCGTCTCCCTTTCCCATCAAGAAAATAATGGAAATAGTGATTCCCAAGTCCTCAATGATGATGACAGTAATTAGCTTTTGGAAACTAGTTTCGTGGCGTAGAGAGTTAGCAGATGCTTTTTTTCACTTAGGGCAACACAGCCTCCCTCCCGTGAACTATTTCAGCAAGGTGGAAACTCCAGTTCAAGAGAGTGAAGGGCTGGGCCCAGTGACACAGAGCTAGAGAGAGGAGGATGGGGACTCTAAGGCAGGTTCTCTGCCTCAAGGTGCTGGAAACCACCAGTACATGTGAAGCCACTTTGCTAGAGTATTAGCTTAGTCTTCCCAGCTGTGAGAAGCAGCCCCAGCAGCCACTTCAGGGTGGGGTGGGTGGCGCTTCCTGGGGTTTGCTCAAAAGCCCCTTATCTCTCACCTCCAGCACCCCCTCTCCAGCCCTTATCACATGCAGGCCCAAAGGGTGAGGACCCTGCTGTGCCAGGCATCCTGAGGTCCCAGCCCTGTCTCCCCCACCCACAGGATCAACACCCCCCGGAAGGAGGGAGGCTTGGGCCCCCTGAACATCCCCCTGCTGGCTGATGTAACCAGAAGCTTGTCCCGTGATTATGGCGTGCTGAAGGAAGATGAGGGCATCGCCTACAGGTACTGTGGGACCCTCAGGAAGCCCCCATCCTCAGAGTGAGGGGATCGCTCTTGGGTGATGCCCTCCCTGCCCCCAGCCCTGTGGCTAGCAGGAAGACGGTGCTCCCTCCCTGGGTCCTGACAGTGGGAACTCTGGCTCCTCACTGTGAACTCTGCTATCTCAGGGGCCTCTTTATCATCGATGGCAAGGGTGTCCTTCGCCAGATCACCATCAATGATTTGCCTGTGGGCCGCTCTGTGGATGAGGCTCTGCGGCTGGTCCAGGCCTTCCAGTACACAGATGAGCACGGGGAAGGTGAGCCGAAACCCACATTCACATGTGTTCACACATGGGTACATATGCAGCCCCTCTGTCATGCACGCATACATTCACTGCCCGCCCTGTCGCTTGTGTGGGGTGGTTGTGAGGGCCCCAAAGAAGATTTAACTCAGGGCCTTGTCTGCAGGACGTTTCTAGTCTGGTGGGAGAGATACCCCAATATAAGGGTGGGGAGCTGGGGAGGTAATAGAAATCTGTAGAAGGTATTTGAGAAGGCCTGTGCCAAGGCAGGCTTGAATGTTAGTTGGATCAGAGTATCTTCTCATGTGAAGGCCACAGCCTGACCACAGGCCCTCAAAGTCCACTGGGGCTGGGGCTAAGAGAGAAAGATGCGATTAAAGGAGCCAGAAAGAAATTAAAATGTCAGCCAGGGAATTCCCTGGCGGTCCAGTGGTTAGGACTCTTGCACTTTTACTGCTGAGGGCTCGAGTTTCCCCTGGTCAGGGAAACTAAGATCCCACAAGCCACACGGTGCGGCCAAAAAACTACATAATAAACTAGGTACTTCCCTGGTGGTCCGTTGGTTAGGACTCTGCGCTTCTACTGCAGGGGGCACGGGCTCAATCCCTGGTCGGGGAACTAAGATCCCACGTGCCACATGGTGTGGCAAAAATAAATAAATAAATAAAATAAAATGTCAGAAAATCCTGCAGCTGGGCTTGGAGGGCTTCTCTTACCATGTGGCATGGTCTTAGGCCTGGACCACTTGGCTCCAGGCTTTTTCTTCTGCAACTCCTGCTCTTGCTTTGCCTCTTTTTGTCCCCTCACTACTGCTCTACCTTGAGTATGGCGCTCTGGCCTCATATGTGCGCCCCTGTTTCTCCACAGTCTGTCCCGCTGGCTGGATGCCCGGCAGTGACACAATCAAGCCCAGCGTGGACGACAGCAAGGAATATTTCTCCAAACACAACTAGGCTGGCAGAGGGGCGGCAAGCTTGGGCTCTTGGCCCCCATCTGTGCCCCCACCTGGGTGCCCCATACTGACCCAGGAAAGGCCCCTTCAGACTCTACAGTCCATGACCCCAGAGGGCTAGGCCAAGGCTTTCTCAAGCTACCAGCTGAGAGCTGGTGAACGGTGACCCCCTCCTTGGAGCCCACATAGCTGAGAACAGGCCTAGAGGCGACTAATAAAGTATTAGGGACAGATGTGAGTCTGTGTTGGTGTGATTTGTCCTGGCGTGGTACCACTCCCCACCCCCTTCTCCAGACTGTGGCCTGGGAAACTGACATTGTAGTTACCGATCTCCACCACAAGGTGGCAGTCTTGCATCATGCTCACTGCTTACTCTCCTCCCTCTTTCTCCTTGGCCTGAAGACGGGTGGAGGGGCCGGGGGCGATGGTGCTGTTGGCCCCTTGCAGGGAGCAAGTCCCAGGCTGCCTTACAACCTGAAACCTGGCCATGCAGAGCAGCGCCCACACCTGAACAGCAGCCAGCCTGGGTTCAAATGCCGGTTAAGCTGTGATCTTCCCTGGGTCTCTTCAACAGCAAAATGGGAATAAAGACAAACCTACATTTCACCATTTCACGTTAAAAGAGATGAAGTACGTGAAGCTCAGGGCTCTTTTAATGGTTATTAGGACCAAGTTCCTGGGGCTGGAAGAAGGTGGGGACCCAATCCTGAGCACAGAACCAAGAGAGGGAGCTTGAGGTAGAGGCAGAGTCCCTGCTGCAAGTTCTACACCACCCCAGGTTGGAAGGGCTGTGCCTTCCCCTGAAGTGGAAGGATGAGGGTTAGGCTGGGAGGCAGGTGTTAGGAGCAAGACAGTGTTTGAAGGAGCTCAGTTTGATGCTGTGCATGTTCAGGCAAGTGGCTTTGCCCCTCTGAGCCCCCATTTCCTTCCACAGAACAGGACTGACAAGCTCATTTAATCCACAGACCCATTATTACTGCTATCCAGCCTAACGCCCTCCAAGGGCGCCCATCTCAGCCTTGGGGTTTTATCTACACTCCTCCCCAAGGCCCTGTGTGGTCTTCCCTGACCTCATCTCCCAACTCCTGGTTCACTGCATTGCAGCACACAGCCTTCTTGCTGTTCTTTAACAGGCTGATCTTGTTCTGGCCACAGGAGCTTTGCATGTGCTGTTCCCTCTGCCAGAACGCTGTTACTCAGGATTTTCTCAGGCTCAGCTTCAAAGCTGCTGAAAAATCGCCTCATTAAAGTTCCATGTTCCCAATCCATTCTCCAAAGCAGCTAACCTCCCCGGCCCCATCACTACCACTTTGACCATTTTTTTTTTCTTCCTAGCACTTACCACCATCTCCGAATCACGCTTGCTTGTTTATTGTCTGTCGGCCCTGGTCCCGTCTGTGACTCCTGGGCCAGGTTGTTCAGTACTTTATAAATGAATTAATGAAGCGTCTGTTCTACCCCACCTCGCCCCTGTGGCTTGGTTTCTCGATCTGTGTTTTTCTCTGCTGCTCTGGGGGCTTCCAGCTCCGAAGCCAGCCAGATCCCCATCGGGGCTCACCAGCCGCGCTCGCACCCGTCACAGCTGCGGGGGAGGCAGCCCCATGAGAGGGCGGCGGCGGCGCCCGGCGGCCCGAGCAGCCGCCCCGGCAGGACCAGACCTGGCGGTCGCCCCGCTCCCGGCCTGGCACCCGGGAGGGGAAACTGGCAGGCGGGCACCGCCCTTCCTGGCGGGGGTGGGGAGGGGATCGCGGCGGCAACGACGCGCAGGCAACTGCATCCCCCCTCCCGGGTCAGGTCAGACGGAGCTGGCGTGGGCTCGGCAGGACCCAGGCACCAGCCCGATGGGGGAGACTCTGGGGTGGCTCCCGGTGTTCTGGAGTGCGGCCCGCCCACCG